AAAAGTAAAATTAAAATTCAAATTGCGTATGGAGATTTTCAAATATTTATAGGGAAAATTTTTATCAATTTCTAATTAAACATGTTGTCAAAATTTACCATTATCAGCAATTTTGATGAAAATGTTATGAAAATGGTCTAATGATGCTATGCAGTAGCAAACTTCATGTTTTCTTGTTCTCTATAAATTGAAAAACTTTTCGAATTGAAATAAACTTTTGAAAGTAACTTTTATCTAATAAGATATTGTAAAAAAATGGATTCTTCTTCTTTCCACTTTTTTCATGACAGTTTAAAACTTTCATTAGAAAACATGTTTTTTTTTTTTTTAAATAAAAATTTCAACTTTCATTTTTACTAATGACAGCATCTTCTATTTTTATTACCAATGGCAATTCCAGAAATGGAGCCTTCCATCCATTTGAGATTGAATGAAAAGAATTGAAAATAATATTTTAATAAAACAGAAAATAGTTAGTGATGTCAAGATAAGCTGAGGATTGTTTATTAAAAAAATGATTTGAGAAATGAAATAAATAGTGGAAAACACTGAAAGTATAAAAAGAAACAAATTGGAGAAATTTTTAAAAAAAAATAAAATATTTTAAAATAAATGAAATTCAATTTTTGTTGATACTTCAGAAAAATGAAGATATTGCGAAATCCAATCTGAATATTTTCATCGCTATATTGATTAAACACCTGCTATTATGAAAGAATATGATAATTGTTGTATGTTGCATAGATTACTCAAAAATCAATTTGAAAATGACAATGAAAAAAATAATTTTTTTAAGAGAAGAAAAATACCGATTAATGAGAAGCATGAATTGATTTCAAATGTTCACTAAGAAAAGAGTGCAATTTAAATTAATTACTTTTTTCTCTTCCCTTAATAAAAGCTTTTAAATGTACACAAATTTCAATTGCACCAACTTTCAATCAACTTAAAATACATTTTTGATAAATAACACATGAAAGATTATGCAAAGTCTCTTACAATGATATCATTTTTTCATTGCAGTTCAAATTTGAAAAACACTGTTGACAAAAAAAGTAAAAATTTTGAAAGCGAAATTAATAATGAAAAGTTAAAATAAAAGAATAATAAAAAGTTACACTTATTTTTTCAAATTTGAATTTCATAAATGTAAATTTAAAAATAACTGCATAAAATAAAATTAAATTATACAAACGAGTTGCAATAAATCTGAAAAATAAAAGACTGAAATTGAACGAACAATAAAACTAAAGAAGTAAGTTAAGAAATAATTTTTGAAATTCATTTTTTGATTTGAGTATTGTATTTTATTCACAATTAAACTATAATAAGTCAGTTCTGGTTGGAAAAAAAAATGCAATATAAAATGAATATTTACCAGCATAGAAAGATAAATTTTAAAGGAAACAGGAAAACAAGATTGTTCATCTCTTTTGCTTAAAAATCGAAACCTTTTTTTTAGAAAAAAAAATTCATTGAACGAACAAGTAATGCTAACTAAGTCCTCAAAAAAGCCAGTAAGATAAGCCAAGAGAAAATTGAAAACGGAACAAAATACTGCGTGAAAATCTTATCAGAAGACAAATTATCGGAAACATTCAACAACTCTGAGAAAAAAATTGAATAAAAATAATTGAAAAAATATTCCCACTTAAAGTTTAATTTTGTAGATAAACTGATGAAAAAGCGTTCATTGAAATGATAAAATTAAAAGGACAATTAAATATTATTGACAAAAATTCTATATTATCGTGCGTGTAAAGAATTAAATTTTCTTAAACGAAAATAATATTATTTATAGTTAATTAGTGATTGAATACCATACAAATAATCGAATTATAAGTTCCAGTTATAGAAACAGTAATTCATTAGTGATTTTTAAATTTTAAACGAAAAAAATGCCTGTTATAAATGGACAATTTTTTTTTTCTCTTTCTAACTTCAATTCTCTTCATTAAATTTTTTTCTAATATTAACAATCTTTCACTATTAGCAAACACAATGAGAGATAAAAGAAATGTTAAAATTAATTAAAATTCATGAAAAAGGAATTAAATTTTCCTATTTCAAATACAATGCAACATGTGTAAACAGTTGTAACGGAATATTTTAACGGATTCGTTGAAGCTTTCATTCGTCATTCCATCACTTTTTCATTCTTATGTTTTCCTCCTTTTTTTTCCTGTTTCATTTTTTGTTTTGAACAGCCGTTATATCCGGTAAGTGGTTTGATGAAAGATATAAGAATTTTGGAATCGAGCGAAGTTGGATTAATTTTTCAATGTATTTGCAATTTTTTGCTGATATCTCATTTCATTCCATTTACAAGTCTTTGAAATATCGTTGCTAGAGTAGGAATTAATTAATTATTTCAAATAACTTTTGTTCATATCGGCTAAACTCAATGGTACTTTGGAATGTAATTTTATGAATTGCAATCACTTTTTGTTTAGTAATTCCTAAAGTCTTAATCTCGAATAAAAAATCTGCTCTGGCAATTTTGAATATGATCTTTCCTGTAGATTACAATTACTGTTCAATTTTACTCTCATCTAATTAAATCCACTTTTATTTTCAGGTAATATTTTAGAGATAATATCGGGGTGATTTTTTTTTTTCATTCATTTATTATTACTAATTCTATTTGATGTAAATATATTTTGATCAAATCTTATAATTTATATATTTTAATTAAGCAATATAAATAATCAATGTTTTTCTATTCATACCACTAAGTTATTTTTGAGAAAATTAAATTTTTAATTACTTGAAATTTTAATCATATGTTAACTATAGCAGTTGCTCATTCGTGATAGAAGCTAATGCAAAATAACAGTTACCTCAGAAGTTACCTTGGCGCAAAACAAATCTGATCCTATCGTAGAATTATTCATCGATTAATAGTAGCATTTTTGGATCAATTTATTATTATTTGAAATAGAGAGAAAAAAATCCAACGAATCGCTAAAACAATTTTCTCTTCGAGAAAAAAGAAATTGATTGATATATGCATAAATTTCATTGAAGTAAAATCAATCGATAAATCTAAACTTTATAAAATTAACCTTCTAACTTTATAAAAAAATCTAAACTTTATAAAAAAGTAACTTATGACATTTGTGATCATTGTATTTGAAATATCATACTTCGAATTATACTGTAATATCCATATTATGCTACAGTACTACTGTAATCTGCAATCATGGGATATTATAACAATTAGAATAAGTACTACTAGATAGTTTAGAAATAGCTATCCAGCAATATTCATTTTATTCAATGCAATAATTGCTCATAACTATAATGCTGCAGCATACTGTAAGTCATACTATAACATAAAAATTGCATTACAGTATCACAATGTGTAAATTATACTATATTATACCATAACCCAATAGTATTTGCATATTTTGTGCATTTTTCTGTCTAAGTGTTATATTATAATGCACGATTAATATCAAATTATACTCTAATCTATAAGTTATAACGTATTATACCATAATCCATGAATCATGATACAATGATATCCGTACAAAAAAGCACTTCGTCATCTAAATAGCATGCGATAGTTTCTGTGCTGGTAAAAAGCCTTTACATGGGGATAAAAAAATATGGAAAGAATGCTTTCACCATGGAAACCTCCTTAAGACGATAATTAGAAAAGTATATTCCATCCTGAGTATCACTAAACACTTCAGTCCTCGACTCTGTTAATGAATTTTGATGGATGTTTATGATGTAAAAATGCTATGCTTTTCTATAATTTGCACTTTTTTTGTGAAAATTGTATTGATTGAAAAAGAAAAAATCCGTTATTGAATAGTATAAACAAAAAAAAAAACTTAATTTGAGAGAAAACAGTTTACAATTACATCAAAAACAAGCTAATTGTTAACCATTAAGCAATGAAATTGAATATATTTATTTCAGATGAGTAAAAAAAAGCCAATAAAAACTAACAATCAACCAATTCGGTTCCTTTCAGCATATCAAATTTAATTGCGTCTTGAAAATCAATGCGTTAGAATTTTTGAAATTTAAATATCTTACACAATTTCTCTGCTTCGAATAAACATAAGTCAGAATTCAAAAATAGATGCATGATTTAGGCATTATTTCCTCTTATACACATCATTTTTCATCTTTCTAGCAAAGTGTGCACACTTGTCGCGGTCAAAATTGTAATAAAAAAAAACAAAAATTGCAATATTTTTCAATATCTCAATAATTTTTTTGTAGAAGTAATTAATAGCTCAATTTCATTTTCTTGCATTTTACTTATCAAACCACTCCCATAATTTTTGTTAAGAAACTGTCTTAATTTAAACTGCCAAATTTTCGTGGCTTCCGGGAAATATGCTTAACCGGTTCATTAATTCAAAACCATCCTAAAGTCTGCCGGTCAAGGCAGGGAGTTTTAAAAATTGAATTACAGTCAACAGAAACATTACTGACACTTAAAAAAAATCACAGCAGTTTTCTTGCGTGAAGACTGACTGCGATCTTCCAAAATTCTACTGTAAAGAATTTGGTGAAAACTTCTGTTACTTAATCACGAATTTATAAACAATAAATCGAAAACATTTGAGAAACGTGAGTACCTTGAATCATGAGTGTCACGTTTCCCAAATGTTTTCCTTCATCGTTAACTCCTCCTCCTTCCTGCCTATATGTAAAATTTCATGTTTACAGTTTTCGAAATTTTGTACACTAATTAAAGTGATAGCGAAGGCAGAAGGAAAGAACAAAGATCGGAAAACCGAATGCATGAAATCCTAAGATTAATTTTGTTTATCTTGCCTTATTTGAATTTGAAAGCAGATGTGATAGAACTTTACCCTGTACATGTTAGGCATATCATTTCGAAGCTCTAATGATGAAACAAAAAAATGGAAAGAACTACACAAGACATATTCTAAAACATGCTATAATTGTGACGGATATTCTACAGATTTTTTCAAAACTAATCAGATCAAAGAAAAAAAGCAAAATGTTTAATCCTAATATTCGAATTCGTCGCTCGAATCATATTCATCAAAAGGCATATTCCTTAGTTTATTTGCATGAGTATCCAATGCATCAAGACATCGACTCCATTGATAACTTACATTTCTCACCGTATCCATCGGATAAAATTCCTGTACCTTTTCCTTCAGCCAGATCAGCTGAAACAAAGTGAACAGTTAGAAAAATAACGATATCGTGACATCAGAAAAATTTTAAATGAGAATTTTGTGTAGCACTACAGGACTTATGATCCTTTCGGTCAAACAGGCAGAGCTCTGATTACTTTGCAAGAAGTTATGTTATAAAGTTCCAAGCAATAAGTGTGCACGGAAATTTGAAATGAGCATTTTTCTGTCTTGAAACAGAGAAATTTAAAATCTTCTCCCCATTTCATTTAAATCGGTGCTTTTGCCTCAAGAGAATCTATGCTTTTATTGAGTTCAGGATCTGTTAGATGAGACTAGACTATGATAATTTTTGAAAATCTTATGTCTTGCAGAAGACCAAGACATGAAAATGGAATTTAAATTATGAATAATTCAAACTGTTTCCTGAAATATTTTATTCATTAAATATAAAAAGCAATAAAATACACTGCAAGATAGATATAGAAACTTATCACTAGGAAAACGTGAACAAAATATGTAAAGCACGTGAAAACAAAACAAGATTTTGAAAATTCAAGAAGCTTCACAATTTTAACATACCTTTGCCTGGTCCCTTTTTTGCTTACATGGCTTCTGGATATCATCATCACCCGTATATAATAAGATAGCAACTTTAACAGCAAATCCTTCGGCATTTGGTTGTTGTCGTTTTATACGAGACAGAGTTTGAGGCAACAAATAATCTTGTAGTTTCCTTTTTTCATTTCGCTGCTCATATGTTGATGAACATGCTGAAATTAAGTTCATATAACAGTTGAAACTTAAATATTCAATATTTTTAAAGTTCGGGATATCCTAAGTTATTTAAAATTTATCAGAAAAAAAGTCACATTCTAGTTGACTAATATTAAACCAGCTTAAAAGAAATCAATACCATCATCCGAACGGATTCGCTTTGCAGGAACACTGTCTTCCTCTGAACTATCAATACTGTGGTTCTCTTTTTCTAATTCCAACAATAAATTTTCGTAATCAGCCAATCCAGACAATGCTTGTATACAGCTTTTATGCATTGATGACAATTTTTTGCGCGGATAACATATAGATGTTATAATTTCCATCCATCGAATCTAGAAAATAATTCTCTCAAAACTAAGGATTTAACTGAGGATTCAACTTTAACTCCACCTTGAATCTAGGACTTGACTTTTAATTTCGATTTCTTAATTTGAGCCAATTCCTGACTTGAACCCAAGATCAACTCGCTAATAAAATTTGAATTTTTTCTTTCTTAGCCTACCCAAATTTAAACTCCGAATATTTCTTAAAGATACCCGCTCCATTTGACTCATGTTCACATTTTCGGAAAATAGCATGCTGATCTCTTCACGTGTAAAAATATGTCGCGCAAGACGTCGAACAAATGCTGTTGGATGAGAAGAAGTAGCCACCAGGTGATGAACAATCTCTCTGGGACAATATCTGTAAACCTCATCTGCAAAATTCATATGCTTCATTTCTTCTGAGACAATTTTAGATAGTTTGGACTTCAGAAATTCTGCGATTTCTAAAATTCGGTAATAGAAATTACTCCCATTACCTGAATTTCCTGCCCTTTTCACAACATAGTTGAAAAAAATACTGATGTTGGCCAAAGAAAGAGAACAATTTACCATCATAAACCTTTCCGATATAGACAAAATTGTCTTCTTTACTAAAAGCTTCATCCGTTTGCACCAACACTGACTTCATCCCTACAAAACATGCACTTCTTTTAACTGCAGCTTTAAGAATGCATTTAAATGTTTTATTGTTCTGTTTTAAATTTGAGAGATCGATTAATTGTACTCAAATAATTCTCTCCTTTGAAGTGATTTTTGAAATTGTTTTAAATCAGTCATAAAATAATCGATGAAAATTGGGCTCTTCAGTAATATGGAAAAAACAAAGTTTTTAAAATGTGTTTTATAAATTGAATTGGTCAGCACCAAAATACAGCGGTTAGTTTTTTCAAGCAATAAGCAATTAGAAATTCTTCTTATAGTCTGAGTTCACTAAGTGCACGTACGAATTAATTAAGTAGCAGCAATTGAAAGAAAAACAGTCTTGGTCGTCTTAGCCAATGAGAAGTCCAGCCATCAAATAAACTGATATTCGAATCAGCGAATTTCCATTCAAAGGTTATTTCTATTTTTTCAAGAAATTACTTTCAGCTACTCATATATTGGCAAAGTGAATGAAAGCTTGAGGCGGTGAATGAAGCTCTCAGATTACCTTTTTCATATGCTATATAGCGTGAAGGAATTGAAAGACCAGAATGAGCTTGTGAAGCAAGCTTAGCAAAATCACTTTCAGCAAAGCATGTCATAATTATTTTCAAGTTCTTCTCAATATTTCTTTTAATAGCAACAGCCATACGTCTCAAGCCATCCGCTTCAAAACGCATATTAGTGAGGCATCGAAGTAAAGGGCCCCAACGATAACTCAAGTGTTCTATCTGTTTTGTGATCCTAATTGGAACTCCAGAATATTCGAGCGGAAAAGTTGGGTCAGTATCAATGCGTTTTTCGGCAAGTGGAACTCTGACGCTAGGTTGCGGAACGGGTCGATTGCAACTGGCGGATGGCTGAGACTGTGGAAGAAGTTGTGTAGGCTTCTTGTATAACTCAAAATCAATATGAGTTAATGCTGAGGAGGGGACACCGTAGAATAACGGTTGTTTCGGTGAGGTTCTGTTCTGAAGTAACAATTGCAATGCTGAGAATGGTTTGCTTTCTCCAACATCTGGCATGCGCAGTGATAAGGGTGCATTTTTTACAGAATCATCTCTATCGGAATATGTTCCGCTATCATGGTATACTATCTGATCATCCTAGAAGCAAATACAATAGGAAAAAAATACAGTGTAACTGTATTACGTCAAATTAGTTTCGAAAAAAGAAATGAAATAATAACAGTATTTCGATTTTAACCAACAGAACTTTGCTTATTTATTTTGAATTCAATTAAAATGCAAATATAGTCCATTAGTTTTGCTTAGATCTGGAACTAAAAAAAACTCAGCGAGTTTTTTCTAAAATTGAAAGCCACGACAAAATCTACCTTTCTCATAAGGGAACCACTATATTGCACTGGCTGAATCGCAACTTTGTTAGGTAACATTTGTGATTCGGTAAGCTGAAATACAATAAATAAATTGTGTTCAAATGATCCGCTCTATCTCCAGACAACCATTTCCAATTTCAATTAAAATATTTGAAGCTAGTTTATGTAACTCACTCCAAAAATGTGCGATATTCCATATGAGCAAGACATTCATGGATAAAAACTCACCTTGTCATTCGTTATCACAAATGAATTTATAGAAGTAGATACGTGTTTACATTTCGCAATCATAACATTACGTCGACCCACTTTGATGATCATGGCTCTTTCAACTTTTCCCTTAATCTGAACGCTTACGTTGGAAAAAGGCCAAAGTACGCCTACAATATCGCTCTCACCGACTACACAGAAAATTTTCAACTTATTAACATAGAGTAGAACATAAGCATTCCTGAAAATAAATGATCAGAATCATAACAGTATTGTGAATTCATGTTATTAATTTTCGAGAATATGTTCTGGTCTATAATATACCAGGTATGTAAGTTTGCAACATACACCCTGCCATAATTAGGTAATATCCAGATTTTGGAAAGTTAAACGCAATCAGAAATATAACGAAATACCTACGAACAAGAGAAAAACTAATTCAGACTTAAACAAATTCACGCACCCTTCTTCTGTATGTGTTACAGCATAAAGCATAAATTTCAGCACATAACTGAAACGCCAAATTGACGATTCCGTTTGTGTCAATTCACTGTTTACATCTAAAACTCGAACACATTCACCACTGATGGCTTTCCATTCGTCTTTTACATGATTTACTAAAAAAGAGACTTTGAAATTTTTGATATGATCAACAAATTTTTTTTTGATATAAATTTTTGATATAATTACTAAAATCTCCCAGATTATACATATTTTGTTTTAAAACCGTTTAATAGAAAACAACTAAGAAAGAAAACAAAAAAAAAGATTTATGTGGAAATTTTTATGTGGAAAGATTTATGTGCAATAATGTGGAAATTTTCTTAAAATTTCTAAAATCATCCTACCTGTTAATTCACAGATACCAGTGGATACTTCATGTAATTTTTTGGTGATTTGATAAGCTACTTTATCAGTCATACCGTTAAAATTATTCGAATTGGACGACCAAATTAAAGGACGACGTTTGATTTCTTTGATAAGCGTTAGACGCAATGCATCTGTCCATAAGAATTTTTCTCGATTGTGTAACATTAGGCGTTGCTGATAAAGTCTGCGAAAACACATTATTAATTTTTTTCAAATTTGAAACGCACAATTCATATTCAAAATTTGAAGTTCGAAAATTTGCATAAATTAAACTTAATGAGCCGTAATCACATGCGACAGTCAACGTTAATTTGAACGAGCATTTCTGAAGTGCCATCAAATATCTTCCCAAAAGTTCCAAATAACCAAAAAGTTATCATTATGTGTTCAATAATATTTTTTAAACAGTTTTTATGTCTACAAGTACATAATTCACGTAGTCTACAAGTACATAATTCATGTAACTTTCATCATTGCAAATATGAATTCCATAATCTATGCATACATGCAAACATAGTAAGTTCCGGCTCCGCATAACTTCTACATTTTCACGTACGTCTAGGACAAGATACAGTATTCGTACGTACGTCTCGGCAAGAATATAGTACTTGTGCGCACGTCTAGGCCAGGATATAGTAACTGCACGTACGTCTAGGCCAAGAAACAGCACCAACCACCAAAAATTCTATCCCACATCATATCACAAGCAATGCCATTTCCCGCCTGTTCACGAATTTGTCATGTCGTCTGCTTAGCACTCTTTCCACTACACTCTGACATCTTAGCCTATCCATGAAATGCACTCTATTGCTGCAATCGATAACATCTGTTCTCTCATCAATCTCATTTCGAGCCGTCAGCTCGGAATTTTTATTAGTGGCGGGGAGTTGGGACGCATCCGGTTGATTAAGGGGTCCGGTATTTTTGTCTGGGAGTTAAATTAATGACAAATGAATGTTAACATTTGTTACTTTTATCATAGATAAGCTTTGTGTACGTGCTATATTCCACTAAAGCCAATTTCTTCACTTTTATTAGTGCAAAATATTTATGAATATAAATTATGACAGTTCGACATTTCTACTTTACATCACGTCTATCTCTTATTTTAATCTAAAGGTAATGCATGTGATCTAAATTGCTGCAAGCAAACATTTTATCTGAATTTACAAATATTTATTGATAATGTGGTGTCTATGAGTTCCAAACATTCATTCGATCCATTTACCGGCTAAAATTCTGGTCATTGTGTAACATTAATTTTGTCACGTAAACTCCTTTTGTAGAAATGAATGTAAGTTTAAAAATTAAACGTGTAAGGAACTGTATGACACGAAACGAACAAGTTTCACGAGTGCACAAGTATGATGACATTATTGTTTATGGATGACGTAATTTTTATATTTAACAGATGTTATGCTTGCTTATTATCGCCCATATCCATTTTGTTGGTGTTATTTTTCAGTATTTCAGAAATGTTTGGAGAAACTCCATTTCTACGCTATCCGTTGTGGCGTTTCACAGCATTAGTGATTGTGACTTCCACTGCATTGTCAGGATTTATTTTTATAAAATTACGTCAACGAGAAAATATGCGGCGAAAAAAATGGGAAGAGTTCTTCAAGTAAGGCTTAGTTCGATTACTTACTTCGCAAGTTGTTTGCTTTTCTGTAATAGTAAAGATTTTATATCAGATTACTGGACCATGAATCGAGGGGATTTTGCCTTTGATGTATTGATTACTGAGCTTTGGATTTCATCAATGAAAGTTCCTTATTTTAAATTCTAAATCATTTTAATTTGCTAGTTTCAAGTGTCTTGCCATTGCAGGAGCTTTGGATTTCATCAATGAAAGTTCCTTATCTTAAATTCTAAATCATTTTAATTTGCTAGTTTCAAGTGTCTTGCCATTGCAGGAATTACGATGCTTATGAGCATATAAAAGAAATTTGTTCACATGCACCAGGAATAATGCATAGCTGCCCCAAAGACCTCGCTTTAGCTTATGAAAAAGCCGGATTGAAAGACTAAATAGTGAATGCTTATAAAATCGATTTTTTTAGAGATTCTGTTTAGTATTCGTACTATATTTCCACTTTTTGTGCTCTGTTAGGTAGAAATCGACAGTTGTATTGCTTCGGTTTTGTAATTTTATCATTTTATTACATTTAAATATAAAGTCCATCTGCATATTGTAATATACGATATGATGACTGTATGATATACTTAAGTAGTGAGAATGACTGTGTTATATATAAGTAGCGATTTCAGTTATTTTAATGTTTTGCAGATATAATTCTGTGGTATTTGATATATAAACTAGATAACATCATGGCTAATTTGTATGAGCACTGCTAGTTAGATTTTGCGCATTTCATTTCAAGATATTTTTTAATCTATCCACTTTAAAAACATGAACATAGCCATTGCTTTCAAATAACAGCATGAGAAGTGCTCTTTACCTTTTTCATTATATGGCTATTAATGTTAGATTGAACTTATTCCGTTTTTTGATTTCTTAAACTTGGAGGCTACATACGAGGTTGATTTTTATGTACTCGTTGACAGGTAGCTGCTGTTGATGTCTGATCAGCAAGTGAGTTTGTTGCTTCTGAACATTTCAAAAGTCTTGTCTTGTTTTTAGGAAAGAATTTGTTTCAAGAGCAACAAGTTTTTAACTTTCGTTGCAGTTGGAAAATAGAATATTTTATCGGGTTTTATGAAACGTGACAAAGTAAATTTCTAATTTTTTATTTGCAAAAGATGGTGTAGATGGGCGAGGTAACAATTTACAAATATACAGCAGCGTGACGAACGGAAATCATATGTTTGAATTTAAAGATATGTATAAGCTGTGCACGTTCTCTTCGGTATCACTTACAGTTGATCAATTTCGATGTTATAGCGTAGTTGTTTGGCTGAGAACCATGAGTAATAATTGTCGAATTCAATTATATCTGTAATTAAGACTGTAAATGATTCGTTTGCTACATTTACTGAAGATTAGAATTACATTTACTTACGGAGTGAAAAAAGATGTTAAAAGTAAATATTATTTTGAGCTTTCATATAACTGTTAAAATTTTGTTCCTTAAGAACTTTTTAGACAAAGCTTATCGTTAATTTCAAATATTAAATTGAAATTAATTTAAATTTAAGTTGTTAGTACGACAGGAAAAAGACTTACATCTTCCAGCGTGTTCACATAGAATAGATCCAGAAATGGGCACTTGTGAGCATTCTAACCTAATATATGGGAAAACGGTTTCCATTTCAATTAAATTGTTTGCTTTGGAAGTCTTATCGAAGTGTATACCGAAGCCGATATCTTCCTCCGACGTCATATACTGCCAGCTGAAGTATATTTTCCATTTATATATTTTAATATTGTAATAGAACTATTTTGAGCTTGAATCTTCGTGTCTCAGAAATTGATATGACTGAACGGGATGATGTATTTCGTCGGTCCGAATTGTTCAGTCATCATCATGACATGCTTGCGAATATACCTGGAATATCCTAACCTGATGATATTTGATCGATTGGTCATTTCGAATTTAAAATGCCAACCGGAATGCCTTACGGCAATTTTCGCACATCTCTTTTCAAACCCTTTCTCTAATGGACACTATTACACTCACATCATTATTATTATCCACCATTATTGCTATCATATTTTCCTGTAAAGTAGAATGTGTAAAAATGACTATTTCAACTCTTGAAATGAATATTAAAAATGATACTGACCTGATTCTTGTGTTTGCTTCGACTTTAATTTCAATGAGATGTTTTTCACCGGCATAAACAGTTGTGAGTTGATCATAATCAGGCATTGCATCATCCGGATCAATGTAATATGTATCAGGAATTGGTCCAAGACCATAACGTATCTTAGACGGACATTTTGGATCACCATTCTCGCATAATTTACCACCCCAATGAACAGGCCATGAATCCAATTCAACATATTGTTTCAATGCTAATTCCCATTCATCAATTGAAGGCATTTCGATTAATTCATGGAAAAAAACAACATTGAACAATTAATAATAAATTAATTTAATAAAAAAAAGTACGATAAAAATTCTTTTGTTTATGTTTGTAAAAGATGAATCCTATTATATTCACAAAAAAAAAGAAAATACTGTAATCATCTATTTTCGCAGTATTATTTTTAACAATGTATTTTTTTTTTTATTTTAAACAATCATCATTAGGATATTATCTTAAAAAAAAATTTTTATCATTATCAAGCAATTTTTATCTTTGCATTTAAATTTAAAATTGGCATATTTGATGTGTTTCCTTCTTTCTTTCTTTTTTTCCTCTCCGCCTCCTTGTCTCTGTAGCAAACGATCAATCGGTAAATTTTGACAATTATCTTTTACATCAATTAAAATTTTACCTGTATTTTATCGTTTAGAAATGCGGTCATCGTATTGAATGCAAGCATGGCCATTTCAGGTGCTCGAATGATAAGAATTTTTTTAAGTACCAATGGATAATGCTCTTGAAAAAGTAGTATAAGTGTTGTAAAAGATGAAGCGAATGCTTTACATGAGTAATGTGCACTACTGATATGATCCAAATCAAAAACAATCATCATTTGCTCGAATGCATGTCCAGTCTGTAAAACAAATAGAAAATTTTCGATAAATTAGAAAAAATTTGCTGTACCGTTTGATTTTGCAATCAAATTTTT